CTGCCTGGGGTGAGGAGGGCGCTGCTGCCTGGCTGCACCCACACCTTGCCCCAATGTACGGCTTGTGGGCTCAGAGCTCTTTCCCGCATTGCAGGGGGAACAGAGACAAGTAGAAACAAGCCTGCAAAAAAACCAAACTGATTCCTCAAAAGGCAGCAGCAGATCATAAGTTCAAAGCCAACCTAGACTACACAGGAAGACCACATCTCAAAACAGTAAAACTAAGGGCCAGGCTTGGATTACAGACCTGTAATCCCAGCTCAAGAGTTAGAGATTGGAGGACTACAGTTTGAGCCTAAACCAGGCAGAAAATTAGTAAGACTCCATTTTAACAAATGGAGCACAGAAGTTCATGCTCCTGATCTCAGCTACACAAGAGACACAGGTATAAAGACTGAGGTCTAAGGCAAGCCCTGGGTAAAAATACAAGACTATCTTTAAAAACAAAAAAGGATGGGGGCGGCATGGCTGAAGTAGATGAGCACTTGACTAGTAGGTATGAGATCCTGAGTTCAAACATTAGTACTGCCAAAAAGTAAAACAACAAAAAAGATATTCAGTGCTGTAGGAAAGCAATACACATTTATCATGAGATAGACGGTGTGGCATCGTAAAGACGCCTTTCCCGTGCAGCAACAGCTGTGTGGCGCAGTGCGAGTGGCCAGCACCTGGCAGGGCCAGCACCTGGCACAGCTCACCTTTCTGGGAGGCATGCTTCTCCGTCTTTCCCTGGTACTCGAAGCCTACAGCAGACTGAAATCACAAAAAACAAACAAACAAGTTAACACATTTGTTTTAAATGCCTCTAAAAGTATCTTTTGGAGCTGGGAAGGTGGCTCAGTGGTAGAGCGCTTGCCTTGCATGCATAAGGCCCTGGGTTCAATTCCTCAGCACCACATAAAAGCAGAAAAAGCCAGAAGTGGTGCTGTGGCTCAAGTGGTAAAACGCTAAGCCCTGAACTGAAGAGCTCAGGGACAGCACCCAGGCGCAGAGTTCAGGCCCCATGACCGACCAAAAAAAAAAAAAAAAAGCTAAATTTTTGACCCTTGGTTTTCTAAGCCAATTACCAGTCAAAGGAGTGGCAAGTGTGGTGTTGTGACCTTACACACTGTTATCCAAGGACTGGGCTGTACTACCTGGCCATGCTTCCAGGGCACTGGTGCCCTGGTGTCTCCGCAGCCACACATGGCACCCACATACCCTGCCCACCATAGGCACAGTGTGTCCATGTGGCCAGAGGCACAGCTCGAGCTGGGAATTCCCATCACCCCCGCGTTCCAGACACAAATGTGCAGCAACTAGGCCACAAGCCAGGCATGGACAGCCCAGCCAGAGCGCCCAGCATGAAGTATCTGACAGCCAAAGGGGAGAGAAGGTGGAGGCCCCCAGGGCAGAGCGGCTGGATGCCAGGACCAATGCTGGCTCTGATACAGATGTGCAGACCATGCTGCAGACAACAGGGTGGGAGTGGGCCCTGCTGGCCTGCTCTGGTCACAGCTAAGGCCAGCACCTATGAAAGAAGTGCCGCGGGCCACTTGTGCAGCTGACACAACGAGGGCCTCTCCCAGCGGCGGGGCTCGGGGGGCCGGCCTGGGAGGTCTTGTCTGCACTGTGCCCCATCCTGCTGCATGGGGCTCAGAGGAGGACATGGCAGGAGTGTTTGGGGTGTGGGTCCTACAGGCAGCTTGGTCCCCAGGAAATGTTACACACCCCTCCCCCCCAGTCTCATCACTCACCTGATCAACTCTGTCCATCTGGACACCAAACTTGCCTCCAAAACCCCGGACTGAGTCAACCTGCGAGCAGTGCTTGGAAAGTTTGGACTGGTACTCATGGCCAACGGCTGACTGGAACAGAGTGCAAAGGCAAGTGTCACCAACATCACAATGTCACCTGCACACACCCACACAGCAGTGTCACCGACATCCACATCCCTCGATGTCACCCACACCCCTGCACCAGTCAGCCCAAGGCTGGGATGACACATCTGCCTGGCTAACTGCAACAAACGCAACAGCGGTAAAAGCTCAGCTTCAGGACCCTCACACGAACAGCAGCAGGGCGATGCAGGAAGGAGCTGGGCCCTGCCCTGCCTGGCACAGCATTCCTGCACCACCAACGACACCACCAGCCCCCATCAGGGAAGAAGGTGCCAGGACCTACTGATCACACATGAACCAGGGGAAAAACAAGCACCATAGCCAGGATCCAGCACACGTCCCAGCTGGCAAGGCAAACACCAGGCGAGGGGCCGCTCTCCAGCATGGGCCCAGCCCCACAGCCCCCCGCCTTCTCCACAGCACAGGTGTCCAGGTGGCTCCTTTGCATGTGGTGAGGACACATGTGCCTGTGGGGTCACCTGAGCAAGCCTTCTCACTGCACTCACGGGTCCTGGGACAGCCGATCCTACCCCACAGGCCGCCCCTGGCTGTTGGCCTGCCACTGAGAGGACAGCAGGGCCTGGAGCTTGACGATGGTCAGCCCGTGAGTGACACCTGTGTCCCCTCTCCCTAACACTCTTTGTAGCTGTGATGCTGTCCTTCCCAGGCTCATGCTGAGTTCAACGGCAATGACCAGGTCATGAAACACAGCCCCCCAAAACCTGTGGGGCACAAAGACAGCTGCCCTCAGCCTCTGGAGCCTCACCCAAGACAAGCAGGAGAGGGGCACATCACGGGACTCGCCAGCACACTCCTCAAGGAAGGATCTGCAAGAGAACGGTTCTAACAGCACAGCAGGTGCGAAGGCTTTGAGACTGGCCTGCAGTCCTCTGGACTGCTTTCCATCTCCTGCTGGCAGCAGCCAATGTGGGAACAGGCAAGCAGGAAGCCCGCATTATGGACCCCAACCACCTGTATCCTGAAAGAAGGGTGCAGTGTCGCCGAGCAGCCAGGGCCCCATCCGCACCCTGCTCGCCAACAGTGTCATTCTGAAGCTGACACATCCCCAGTTCTTACCAAGGGAACCCAGCCTTTTTGCAGTTTCTAGAGTGGACAAGTTACAAACAGCCAAGCAACTCAGGTTTGGCACTGAGAGACTTCTAACAAAGAGTCTCGCAGCACTACCATGAGCCGGGGGACCTCGCCTGAACTGGCAGGACAGGACAGGTGTCAATGCAACACTGAGCGGCGGTGGCAGTGGTGGCAACAGCAGCGCCCTCAGCATCTCCAGGACAGACAGGGCCTCAGCTGAAAGTTTAGGGACTGGTGAGATCAGCCAACAAGGGGAGCAGGCTGGTACAATCACAGCCATCATATTCCCCAGTGCATAGTTTGCAACCCAGACCAGAGAGCGCCATCCTTTCTGGAACTGCCTTCGGTTCCAGAGAGCATGACATCACATGTGTGGTGTCAGTCACATCAGGAGGGGAGGCGTCTGGTGGGCTTTTAGGTCTATCAGCTCACCTGCTGGTTTCGTTTGTTTTCTATAGGTACTGGGGCTTGAACTCAGGATTTCTCCTGCTCTCCTGTGATTTTTTTGTGATTATGGCTGGTGCTCTAGTACTTGAGCCACACCTCTACTTCTTTTTGGTGGTTATTTGGAGATAAGGAGTCGAGGAATTACCTGCCTGGGCTGGCTTCAAACCAAGATTCTCAGATCCCAGTCTCCTGCATAGCTAGAATTAGAATTACAGGTATGAGTCACCAGTGCCCGGCTTACTCTGGTTGTTGAAAGGCTACTAGACTTCTTATAGAATCCTGATGATTCTTCTCCCCATACTGCATGCTTAACAAGAGGACATCTGGATGGAGGGACACAATGACACTGCCAATGTCGCTCTGTCCTCATCAGACTCCAGCTCTACGAGCTCTCTGGCTGTGGTCAGGGTACCTTAGCCCCCAGTCCACTCTGGCTGTGGTCAGGGTACCTTAGCCCCCAGTCCACTCTGCTTCCTGAACCAGGCACTAATCAGATAGATGCAGCATGCAGCAGGGGGAAGAGGAATGAAGTACCACCTGAACCCCACACCACTTTTGTCCACCTGTCAGAACAATCTCATGTGCCTCGGACACAGAAATTCACCTGGACAACAACACCTGCACAACGTCAAGACCAGCTTTACTGAAGAGACACACACACACCTCTGTCCACACCAACTCCTCTGAAGGGAGACCAGCTGACACTGCTGAGAGAACATCGCTCCCTCTACTAGGGAGAGGTCCTCACCCCTTACCACTGAGTGCCAGGGCTCCCACCTGAAATGCCAGCAGCACAGGAGGCTGCGATCTGAGGATCACAGTGAAGCCAGCCCAGATAGGAAAGTCTGTGAGACACTTCCCTCCAATTAGCCACTAAAGAGCCAGAAGTGACACTGTAGCTCAAATGGTAAAATGCCAGCCTCAACAGCACCCAGGTCTAGGCATGAAAAACAACTTGCTGTATTTAGTCCACAGCTTCTGCTGCCACCTGCAGGGCGATTGCAGGGACTGATCCCAGGGGCTCGCCACAGCTGCTGCCCAGAACACACTGCCCCCAGGCTGGCTAGCACTGAGGCTCCACAGGAGGCAAGGGCTGGGGCTGCTCCCTGAAACCAACAGATGCACATGGGCTGTTGGCCAGGCAGTGGTGGGACTGTTGTGTGCGATGCAAAAGCACAATGACTGGTGACACCTGGCCCTGGGCTGGCCAGGCAGAGGCGAGCAGGCATCTGTGGTCAGGACTCTGCCCTGTTCACAAGGCTCCCATTTGCCCACAAGCCCTGCCTACTCACTGACCCTCCCCAGGCCCCCTGACACTGGAGAAGAGCTGCTGGAAAAGTGAGCAAAGGCTTGTGAGTGGCCCAGTTGGGAGGACACTGGGGACCTCGCCTCGACAAGCCGCCCGCTCGCTCGCTGGCTGGCACTGTGGAGCTAAGGGGTGCCTCCCGACATGGCCGCCCTGCAAGCGCTTACTTTGTCCATCCTGTCCTGCTCCACGCCAAACTTCCCGCCATAGCCGTGCGAGGCTTTTGGTCCTGTTTCCAGCTCCTTCTCCTTGAGGGTCTGGTGTTCCTGGAAGACGTTTTCTCTCAGCTTGTGGATGCTGGAGGCAGACATGGAGACATGAGACACACAAACCGAGCTGCCCAGGACAAAGGAGACCAGGTGACAGACAATCCATGCAGCACAGCTGGCTGTCCTCACGTGATGCTGGCCAACGGCCAGGACACCACCCTCCTCCCCCCCCGCCCCCCCCACCCTCACTACCCGGGCTCTCCTCTATCGCCAGCCACCTTTCCCTGACATGTGTCTGTGGGTCACCTACAACCTCAAGCAGCTCTGCTGAAACCCAAGCTTTACTTCATTTGGTGAAAAGCTGCTCATTTTAGTACCTCTGTGATGAGGGGAAAACCAAGTCAAAAGCCCTGTCCTCAGATCTCCAAAGCCGCTCACCAGTTGAGGACCCTTGGCACTGGACTTTGAGTTAGCCCTTATTATTATTTTTTGTTGGTCATGGGGCTTGGACGCTGTCCCTCAGCTCCTTTTGCTCAAGGTTAACACTCTACCATTTGAGCTACAGCTCCACTTCCAGTTTTCTGGTGGTTAACTGGAGATAAGGTCTGGTGGACTTTCCTGCCCAGACTGGCTTCCACTCAATCCTTAGAAGTCAGCCTCCTGAGTAGCTAGGTTTACAGGTGTCCTTTTTAAAGTTTTGGTAGTTAATTGGTGATCAGTCTCATGAGGGCTGGGACGTAGCTCAGTGGCAAAGCACTTGCCTAGCAAGTACAACATTCTGGCTGTGATCTCCAGTAACAAAAAAAAGAGAAGAAAGAAAAAACAAACAAGAAACTTTCCTGCCAGTACTGGCTTCGAACTGCGATCCTCAGATCTCAGCCTCCAGCATGGCTAGGATTACAGGCATAAACCACTGGTACCTGGCCATGAGTTAATTCTTTTTAGATTCCAAGGATATGATAAAGACTACTGTACACTATCATTGCTGCATTATATTATTGCTGCCCTAATCACCATAACCAAGTTATGGAAACAACCTACATGCCCTGCAATGGACAAATGGGTGAAGAAAATATTTATACATATATATATACACACACACACACATATAAGAACATTTATAAGGCTAGGAGTGTGGCTTAGGGGTAGAGTGCTTGCCAGGTATGCATGAAGCCCTGGGTTCGTATCCTCAGTACCACACACACAGAAAAAGCCAGAAGTGGCACTGTGGCTCAATGGTAGAGTGCCAGCCTTGAGCAAAAGGAGCTCAGGGACAGTGCCCAGGCCCTGAGTTCAAACATTAAAAAAAAAAAACTTATACACACACACATGTATTTTGTATTTACTAATCTATTAGGAAGATTATGTCATTTGCAGAAAACTGTCTAAACCTGGAAAAACTATGTTAAATGAAATGTCAAGCTCAGAGAGACAAAAGGATGTAATTTTTCTCATACATGTAAATTAAATATAAAATAACACATAGCTGGGCACCAGAGGCTCACAGCACTTCAAAGCCAGCCTGGGCAGAAAAGTCCATGAGACTCTTATCGCCAATAAACTACTCAAAAAAGCTGGAAGTGGCGCTGTGGTTCAAGTGGTAGAGTGCTCGCCTTGAGCAAAGAGAAGCTCAGGAACAGCACCAGACCCAGAGTTCAAACCTCAGTTATGGCAAAAAAAAAAAAAAAAGGTCATATGCAAATATACATGACTATATTGACTAAAGTATGGTATATGCAGAAGTCCAATGGTGTAACTCCTTCAAACAAGTAACTTAACCAAATGAATACCAAACGAAATGTGTTGACATGAGGGAGGAGGTCAAGAGAGAGGAAGGCAGACCACTGGAGAGGAAAGGTGGGCACCTACATATATGTCTATAATCCTAGCTACTCAGGAGGCTGAGATCCAAGGATTGTGGTTCAAAATCAGCCCAGGCAGAAATGTCCAGAGATTCTTATCTCCAATAAACTACTCAAAAAAGACAGAAGTGGGGCTGTGGCTCAAGTGGTAGAGCATTAGCCTTGAGCAAAGCAGCTCAGGGATAGTGCCCAGGTCCTGAGATCAAGCCCCAGGACTGGCCAAAAAAAAAACCCAAAAAACAAAAACTTAGACAACTCAGTAAAAGCCACTTTAATTACATTCTAAGCAGCTGTCAACAAGAGACCTTAGAGGAGCACAAAGGCCAGCTCAGCACAGGCCTTTCTGCCCAGTAGACATCTCAGGAGATGGGCATGATGGCACTCACCAGTCACCCCAACTATACAGAAGGTATAGGCAAAAAGATTACAATCTGAGACCCTATCTGAAAAATAAGCCAGTGCTTCATGCCTATAATTCCTGCTATTCAGGAGGCTAAGACCTAAAGAATCATGGTTCAAAGCTAGCATGGACAGAAATGTAACTGATATTCCATCTTCAATTAACCAACAAAAGCAGGACCGGGGCTGGGAAGGTGTCTCAGTGGTAGAATGCTTGCCTTGCATGCATGAGGCCCTGGGTTCGATTCCTTAGCACCACATAAGCAAAAAAAGCTGGAAGTGGTGCTGTGGCTCAAGTGGTAGGGCGCTGGCCTTGAGCTGAAGAGCTGAGGGACAGCGCCCAGGCCCAGAGTTCAGGCCCCACAACCAGCCCAAAAAAAAGCAGGACCGGAGGCATGACTCAAGTGATAAAGCACCAGCTATAAGCAAGTAAACCTTACAAATGCAAGGACCTGAGTTCAAGCCCCAGTATCACCAAAAATAGTAAGTAAATAACTAATAAACCAAGCAAGCCAGCAAGCAAGTGAAAAGGGATGGAAGCAGAGGCACAGAAGGCCTGCCTAATCAGCACAAGACACTGAGCTCCAACTCCAGAACCACCAAGAATCTAATCATCTCAAGCCACATCAGGCCTGGAAAGCACCTGGTGCCCTGAAGCAGACAACACCCTAACATCCGAGAAGCACCACAGATACTGGGAACTTGCCCCCCTCCCCCCGGTCCTGGAGAATCTGACCCATCTAAAGACCAGGTGCACACTCCCATTCGACTCCCTAATGCATCCTGGAGACACAGGAACTGGAACTGGAGGGGCTGAGCAGAGGTGTGGAGACATGGCCAACAACCCAAGGCTGCCCCTGACTCCTGGCTTTCCTCACTCCAGATCCCCTCCATCCCAGCCCTGAGCTGCAAAGCCGGAGGGCTGGCATTTATACAGTGCCATGGACATGCTCACTCCATTCCCCTGGTCTATCTCAGGCTCTTCAGGATGGCTGCAATGCAGTTCACATCACCCGACTATTAAATCTGCAGTGCACCACAGCACCGTGTTCTCAGGCCTCTTCTGGGGAGTGTGGGTGAGGCAGAGGAACCAATGTGAGTCTACAAGCGACCACGCACACTCTGCCTCCTGGCAGGACAGGCAAGAAAACTGCATGCTGTGCATCCCTGCATGCTGCGCGCTGTACAGGCCCGCACACTTGGCAAAGGTCTTTCCACCTGCACTTCCTGACCAGAAAGCAAGTGGCACACACTGCTGGCTGTTGATAGGATCAAGTCCTCCCATTTCAGACTCTCCCATAGCCTCCAACTTGGCTCACCATCCAACTATCAGAGACTGTAAACAGGGGCTTCTGGTCTGTTCCTGGAAGGGCCTCACCCTTTAGAAACTTCCAGTTCTAAGAGAAGAGCTTTTTACGAACTGTTCCTTGATGCAAAGCTCAGCATGTGCAAGCAGAGTCAACACATAGAAAATTGCAAAGGGAAATGTCATGTGACGTGTGTGCACACACATAATGAACACAGGCGTCAACGAATGTGTCCCGCCCCACGTCCACCTCCTGAAGCAGCAGTCAGCACGCGCTATCCGCGCAGAGGCTCTTACTTGATGTGCTCCTGGTGCCCAGACCCCTGCACAGTTTTGGCACCCCATCTTTGCTCCTTTTCGCTCACATCATTCTGCAAAGAAAAACAAGCAGTAGCTCTCATACCCCACATGTGTGAACCAGCAAACACCCCAACCCAACAAAAGCCCAGGAGAACACTTAGAGAGGAAGAAAGGAAAGCCCGGCAGACTGCCTCCTACCACAAAATCAGGGTCAGTCTCCCAGTCATCGGCTCCCCCGTCGTCCTGGGTGATGGACACAGCGTGGCCTGCCGACGCTTTCCACATCTGCAAGAGCAGCACTGAGGTTAGAGAGGGCTCCCAAGGCCAGGGCAGGAGAGACACGGTCCCATCACTGCGCCTGCACCAGAACGACAGATACAGGGTCAGAGGCTAACCCTCACCAGTCTCGCACTGTTACAGTCAGCACAGAAATACTCTGGCTTCACTTCTACTCTGCTAAAGCTTAGGTTGAGACTGTTTCTAAGCAGAAAAACAGGTGCATTGGGGCTGTGCTGAGGGCAAATTTCACACTGCATTTATCACGAGCTTAGAGAGCACTTATTTTGACTTCAAGCAGTTAGTGACTGTCCTAATTTAAACTACAATTTAGTAACTGTTTCAAGCACCAAGTGGTGCTTGCTCTACCATCTACTCTGACAATCCACAGCAGGAAGGCCCAGTCTCCCTGTCCCAGCGGCCCTGGAAGCAGAAGTCACAGGTGTTATCTGCTAGACAGACAGTGACGCAGCTCAAGACACCAACAAGGCCCTGCCTTCTGTCACCTCAGGTACAGGAGCTCTGCAGGGAGTGTATAGATTCACTCCCCATGAGACAGACTCTCCCTTAGGCCAGGAAGTAATGGATGAGAAGTTAAATCAACCAAAGCTACAGCCAGGGCTTATACCAGGGGGAGCCCAATTCCCTCTCAGTAACCCACGGGGGTGCAGGCCTTGAATCCCACAGGACAAAAGCTCTTGGCTGGCTTGAAAACCAACGTCTCTACTCTTCCCTCAGCTCTGCTAGGTCTCAAGTCCACACCCAAGATGCCATTGCGGGTTGGGGCAAGGGAAGGGTCAGAGTGAAGATTTGTGCCACCAGGTGGAGCAGGACATAAAACAGCCATCTTGAACTTTATCTAGAGACCCCTATCATGGCAACAGCTTTCCATACAGGACCTGCTCCTGACAAGATGATAAAGGGCGGATGAACACACCAAGAGGCCAGACTAGACCCCCGTCACCTGAGTGGACACAAAGGGAAAAGCTGAGGGCTGGGCCCTGGCTCCAGGTGTGGACAGTCAGGAGCTGCCTTCCATTTCACACACCAGGCAAACACCACCGAGGAGGGCGGCGGGCTCAGGGCAGGCCAGACTGCCTCACACAGGTGAGGGGATGGTGGGAGGGAGGGAGGGACGGCCAGTGCTTCCAGCCGGTGAGGGCTCCACGCCTGATGCCTCACCACCCACGGGAGACCGCAAGCTCTTAGTTCTAGCGCTGTCTGCAACTTCTTTTGTTTCCTTTTTCTTTTTTTTTTTTAGGGGGGGCGGGGGACACAGCTAGGGGATTGACAGTACTGATGTTTGAACTCTGGGCTCGAGATTGCTAGGCAAGCCCTAGACCACCTGAACCATGCCTCCAGTCCTTTTGCTTTTTGCTGGTTTTTCAGGGAGAGTCTGGTGCTAATACTTCTGGCCAGAGTCTGCAAGCTGGAATCTTTCTACCTCTGCCTCCTGAGTTGCTGGGGTTACAGGCATTGCCACCATACATGACCTGATTTTAGTTATTGTTGTTTTTCCTGCCGGTCCTGGGGCTTGAACTCCAGGCCTGGACTCTGTCCCTGAGCTTTTTACTCGAGGCTAGAAGCACTCTACCACTTAAGCCACAGCGCCACTTCTGGCTTTTTCTGAGTAGTTTATTGGAGAGAAGAGTCTCACAGACTTTTCTCCTCAAGGTTGGCTTTGAACTGTGATCCTCAGATCTCAGCCTCCTGAGTAGCTAGAATTAGAGGCGTGAGCCACCAGCGCACCCGGCTCTGCTTTTAGTTTATAACCATGGAATTTCTTTTCAGAACATTTCTCTCTCAACATTCCAACACAAAGAACACCCCTTGCCTCCTGTGTACTTGAGGGAGTTCTCCCTTAGCCCAAGAGGAGAATGCTGGGCATTCACAGTCCACACACCTTTCTTTCTTGCTGTCCAGTGGCAGAGGTGGCTCACAATGGGCTTGAAACCTGGTACTGCAGTGAGGAGCGTCTGGGCATGGGGAGCACTGTTCTGCAGAGACAAGGAGGAAGCTCACAAGGGTGTCCCTCTGTGCTTATGTGTGTAGATCTTCTCAAGTGAACCTCAGAAACCCCCCAGAGGTAACAAGGCTTCAAAAGCACTCTGAACAGAAAGCAGGAGGACTGTATTCTACTAAAGAAAATGCTCAGGGCTGGCAAGGTGGCTCAGTGGTAGAGCGCTTGCCTTGCATGCCTGAGGCCCTGGGTTCGATTCCTCAGCACCACATAAGCAAAAAGAAAAAAGCTGGAAGTGGCGCTGTGGCTCAAGTGGTAGAGCGCTAGCCTTGAGCTGAGGAGCTGAGGGACAGTGCCCAGACCCAGAGTTCAGGCGCCACGACCGGACCCAAAAACAAACAAACAAAAAAAAAAACAAAATAAAATGCTCAACGCAGCAGCTAAAGAAGGGAGCTCCAAGGTCTTCCAAGTACATGTTGTCTCTCCTCGGTGCCTCAACTGTCCACCCAGGGCTCCTGTGCTACAATCCTGATGGTTCCAACCTAAGACACTGGTAAAGATAATAAAATTCTACTACTATTTTTTTAAATCAGTAATAAAATCTCCAGACTGGGTTACACTGCAAGATACTGTCTCAAAAAAAAAAAAAACCGATATGGAAATAAAATAATAAAAAGAACTCAGCACGGTGAGCCAGTGGCTCATGCCTGTGGCTACTGAAGAGGCTGAGATGGGAGGATCACAATTCAAAGCCAGCCCAGGCAGAAAAGTCTGTGAGACTCTCATCTCCAATTAACCACCAAAAAGACAAAAAGCCAGAAGTAAAGCTGTGGCTCAAATGGTAGAGGGCTAGCCTTGAGTGAAAAAGCTCAGGGACAGCACCCAGGCCAAGTTCAAGCTCTAAGCCTGACACCAAAAACAACAACATAAAAAAACTGTGCTTCAAAAGACACCATCAACAAAGCATAAAGAACCAGGCACACAGTAGTACATGCCTGTAGCCTTAGCACTCAGGAGGATGGAGTAGAATTGCTTGAACCCAAGAGTTTCAGCATGGCCTGGGAAACAGAGACTCACCTCAAAAAAGGGTTTGGGAGTGCAGTGGGCTGAATTCAATAGTAAAGCACATGGGCCGTATGGTCAAGGCTCTGGACTCCATCTCCAGCACAGAGAGGGGGTGAGTGCAAGGCAAGGTCAAGGGAGTGTGGAGGACCAGCGCGTCAGACACTGACACACACAGCTGACGGGAACCCAGCGTGGAAGATGGGTTAACCACAGGCACCACACGGCCCAGCAACCCCACCTACAGCTACTCACAAGAGCAAAGAGAGCCAAAGTCCACACAAAACCCTGCACGTGGATGCTCAGAGCAGCAGAATGGAACAGCCTAGAAGAGGAAATGGGGCCAACACCCGCAAATGGAGCTATGTTACAGATGCACAGTGGAGTAGTAGTCAGTCATAAAAAGGAGTAAATGATACGCACTGCACCGTGAATGAACCCTGAAGACATGACTCAAAGACCACGGGCTACAGCCTCATTCTTATGAAATGTCCGGAACTGTGCACAAAGTCTATCAGTGGCTATCCAGCACCGGGGCGCCAGGGAGAAGTCGTGGCTGAAAGGTACAGGCTTCTTCCTTCTTTAAGAGATGAACTCTCACTGTGGCTGGGACTACTCTGTGCCCCTATTGTTCCTTCCAGAGGTGATAAAACTGTCCCAAAGATGACAAGTGGGGATGGCTGCCCTCTCTGAAAATACCCAAAAGCATGGAATAGTACACTTAGTTTTGGGGTTTTGTTTTTTGAGGCAGTCTTGTGCTACGTAGCCCTGACTAGTCTTGTTTTTTTTTTTTAAGTGAACAATACGATTATTTCATCTTTTTATAATCTTCAAGTAGTTGTCTAAAAGGGTTTCAGTTGAACACCGGCCTTGTTTTCAAGACCTCCAGAGTGCTTAACTGCACCCTCTAAGTGGGCAAATCGCATGGTATGTGAATTATATTGCAATAAAGTTGTTACAAAACACAGTGTTGAACAGATAATGCATCCACCCAGGAGGAATGCAGCCTCCCTTCCTTTCCAGCGTCCCCACAGGCCGAGTGCACTGAGCCAGTGGTCCATGCTGCCGTGTATGAAGCAAACATCTCCGCCCCCTCACAGAACGTATTACTGGTCTGGTGGATGCACAGCCCAGAGCCAGCTTCCCAGACACCTGTCTACCACCGTACAGAAGAAAGCCAGAGAGCACCAACAGCAGTGAAGCAGCCCAGGCAGCCTCACAAGCCTCTCCTAACACCCCAGGATGTCCACAGTGCACCCGGACCCCGAGGCCAGGCCCACAGAGGGCTTCCTTGCCCCGTGACACTGAAGGGCAAGCTGGTGGGCACATACCTTCCCTGCTGTCAGCTGGCCTGTATGAAGAACCCTACACACAGCTGGGGTGCTGGCGATGCCCAAGTTCCACTCTGCACCTCCTGAGGGCACAGACAGGTGACTCACCATTGTGCTCAACGTATTCTGTATGTGTCTGTCTGCCTGGGCTAGAGCTTACACCAAGGACCTTATACGATCACTTGGCTTCTTCCTCTCAAGGCTGGCACTCTACAACTTGAGCCACAGCTCCATTTTCCGGCTTTTGGTTTATTAACTGGACATGAGTCTTGTGGACTTTTCTGTCTGGGCTGGCTTTGAACCGTGATCCTCAGGTCTTGGCCTCCTGAGTAGCTAGGATTACAGGCGTGAGCCACCAGGCCCTGGCCTGTGCTCACAATCCTAAGTCTGGCGAAGGCCCATCCATCACGGAGCCTCCATTAAAAACTCACGTTAGCCCAGCACTGGGGGCTCATGCCTCTTAATTCTAGCTACTCCAGAGAATGAGATCTAAGGATAATAGTTCAAAGCCAGCCCGGACAGGAAAGTCCGTGAGGTTCTTACCGCCAGCTAAACCGCCCAGAAACCGGAAGCAGAGTGTGGCTCAGGCGGTAGAGGGCCGGCTGTGAACGAAGACGCTCCGTGGGGGGGACGGCGGCCGGGCCCCGAGT